GGCCACACACACACACACACACACACACCACACTCTCTCTCTCTCTCTCTCTCTCTCTCTCTCTCTCTCTAATAAATAAAACAATTTTTAAAAAATTAAAAAAAAAAAAGAAAAACAGAAATCTCCAGTCTTATTACTAAAATATTAATCTCCTTATGCCAAAGGTTGCATTTTAAAATTTTTATATGAATTCACATACCCAGAAAAATTCAAGGAACAAGAACTTGAAGCGGTGTTACGGTTTGTATCAGGATCAGAATGCTCAGGGATCCAGGCATTCAGCCCCCTGCAGCCAAGAGTGAAGGAAACCTGGCTACTGCTCCAGTTGGCACCAGAGCCTGGCATTATACATGTGGCATTGATTTTAGGTGCTTGTAGAATGCAGGAGTTCTGAGGTTAAGAAGGTTTCCACCTAGACCCAGAAGAAGGCCTGAGAGGCAGTGTGCCCCTGAGAGGGCAGTACGTAAAGCTATGAGTGAGAAACATATTCAGTGGAAACCCCAGAGGTTTGGAAAAGCCAGAAACGTGGATTATCTAAGAGAAGCTGCAAGAATGGAGCAAAGCAGGCCTGAGAGAGAAGCCACGGGAGCTACCACCAGAAGTGCCATAGGATAGGGGTGCAGCCACACAGAGCTTACAATTTGCCACAGATTGCTTTGGATGTTCCACATGGAACTACAGGACTTAATGTTTGCCTTTCCGGATTCTGGACTTGTGTTGGTCCCAATGCTTGATATCTGCTGTGTGTACCTTTTGGAATGGTAATATTTATCTTGTGCCACTGAATGTCGGAAGTGTTTAACTCTTCACTCGCACAGGGGCTCAGAGCAAAGCGTTTGCCTTGGATTTGGAGGAGACTTGGGACACAGACTTTTCAGCAATGCTGAAACTGTTAAGACTCTGGCAACTTAGAAATGGAATGAAAACCCTTTGGCATAAAGGGATATGCATGAGTCTTTGGAGGATCAGGGGCAGAATGCTATGGTTGTGTCTAGCTTTCCCCCCAAAGCCTCATGTAAGTCACGGTGCGGACTTTGAGAGTTTGTGATTAACTCATGATTCACTGGGATTAAGGGTGTGAGTCCTGCACCCAGACTAGGGCGGACAGCCTGAATGCAACATAACGGAGACAGACCTGCTCTCTGTAGCCATTGTCGCCATTGCTCCTGCTCTTTTGCTCTTTGCTGCTGCCATAAAAGGTCGCTCTCTGCCATGTGCCGCTCTGCCTTGGAGCCAGCTGAGTATGGACTGAAATCTCCAGTAACTGTGAGCTAAATAAATATTCCTTCCCTAATTTTGAGTGTCAGGTATCTGTCCCAGCAACAAGAGAAAAGTAACTGAGACAAGAGGAAAATTTATGCTATATTCCACTGTTTGTGGCATTCCAAAAATGGAACACTAGGCATAAATGTAACTGTCAGCATTTAGATCCCTTTCTTGTATCTTAAGACTTAGTCACAATCATTCCAATATTTAATGCTTACCTTTTAACTTCTTCTAAATACACTATGAACTATTTGGGTTAAAAATAAAGAAGGGCCAGCAAGATAGCTCAACAGACTAAGCACCTGCTTAGGCAAGAGCAGGGACCAGGATTCAATTCCGGGGACTGCATGCCCCTGGGCGCGCTAAGCCCTAGACTGAGTCCAGGTGTGGTGGTCCATACCTATAATCCCCGCACTGGGGAGGCTGAAAATAGGAGGATCACTACAAGTCCAAGCTGCATAGTGAGACCCTGTACCAAATACATTAAAAAGATAAATAAAGAGAAGTGTCAGGTATGGTGGCACAAACCTGTAATTCCAGCACTAGGGAGGCTGAAACAGGAGGACTGCCACAAGTTTGAGGCCAGCCTAGGTTACATAGTGAGACCAAGGCCAGTTTGAACTACAGAGGGAAACCCTGTCTAAAAAAAAAAAAAAGAAAGAAAGAGAGAGAGAAAGAAAACCTCATGTATTGTGTATCACTACAAAGAACTAAAACCAAATTCCAGATAGCTAATGAGCAATACTTCTCTCACAAGAACACCACGGTACACGGTATACAGTAAAGTATAAGCAATGTACACCAGGCTCACTTCTGCACATTCTTCTACAATTTTCTATCTTCTTCCTCTGTGTTTTCTCTCACATCAGGGAACGGAGTGATCTCCTGGCCTATAAAAAGGCTAGTGGAAACGAAACTCTGTCCACCTATGAAAGACCAACTCAGTGGACTGTCTCAGGTGAACACTCTACCTGTCTTAAAGGCCTATCTTGGGAAGAGAACCATTAATCAAGGCATTAAAAAGATGGTTTGGGGCTGGGGAGATAGCTCAGTAGAATAAGCGCTTGCCTGGCAAGTGCAAGGGCTGAGTTCAATCCCCAGTTCTGCAAAAAAAAAAAAAAAAAAAAGATGGTTCATGTATGTATATATTGATATAGTAAGCAAGAGACACAAAGTAATTTATATTTTTAATAATCATTGTAAAAAAACAAAATGTTCAGGTAATTATAATTAATCACATTAGTTGGCTTTATGTTATTCCAAAGCAAACATCAAATAGTGAATTGCTATTCACTGAGATCCCTTTATAATTTACTATCATACTTCTATTAAATCTCAAAACCAACAGTCAAGTTGTACTATGTCCATCCTGACAAACCAATGATGATTAAAATGTCTTGAGTGGATCAGTCGGATCTACATTAAAAGTTGATCAATCATGGAATATTAAGTGATATAAAATACAGGCAACAAAGGAGAGCAGGTATACATAGGTAAAGAATGGGAAAGGAGGAGGGCCATCCTAATGAACTAGACACACACACACACATACACCCCCACCTACCCACCCACCCACATGCGTGCACACAGGCACACGCGCAAATGCCCGCAAATGACCCACAGAGACAGAGAAGGTACCTGGAAAGCTGTGAGTGCGCCAGTCCCTGGGTTATACAGGCATCGCAGCGAAGGCATGCTGTCCGCCAGGCTGGAGCAGCCCAGCCACAGAGACCTGGGCATAGAGCACTGCAGAGAGAGGACAACTATGAGATGGGACAGTATGAGACAGGATGGCACAGATTACAGGAATTTTCAAGGCTTCGCTGAATGCAATATTCCAGCTGCAGCTGGCCTATATAAGAGAAACACTTTCAAGAAACATGCTGCTTTACTGGTTCTAACCCCAGAGAGAAACTTAAAAGGACACTAGCTGCCAAAAAGCAAAGAAGAAGGGGGGAAAAAAGCTGTTATAGGTCAAAACAACAAATATTTCTTAAAACTGTCCCTGTTCTACTATGTATGAACCTAAAGGAAATCTACTTCTTAATCCAAATGATTATTTTTCTTTATGGGTCTCAATTCATCGCCCACAAATTAATCACAAGGTGAAATAGTCTATGAAATAAGAATACTTTGTAGGAGCACTACAATTCAGCACTGATAAATTAGAAAATAAAACAAAAGGTAAGATAAGGTGTTTTTAGAAGAAAAAGATGTGTATCCCTATAGCTTTTGACAGTAAACAGGCACAGTTTGTATATGCTCTACTTATCTTGTTAATCTGCTATTAATAAAAATGTGTGCAGCAGTTAGCATAGCAGCTAACTTTTCATCTTTCCAGATGTACTGAGGGTGGGTGGGATGAGAGACTGTTCCAACAGAAGGGGAAACAAAGGGGAGGGGCGCCTGAGAAAACAGCTGGTATCAAAAACCTTCTAAAAGAAAGCAAGCATGTCTGAGTGTAAATACCTAGGGTTTTTAGTGGCCAAAACAGGCAGAAATTAAATTCTCATGACACTAAATAGACAATATTATTACTACTGCCTTAAGTTGTTTTATAAGACACTGTATCTTGTAGAACAGTATTTACATTCTTCAGAAGTTTTGCTTTTCTGCATTTTAACCCCGCTTATCAGTACATTCCTGCAATACATAATGGACACACTCACGTGGGGCTAGTACATACACATATCCTGTTCTGATCCGCTTTACTTTTCTTCCCCTCACTTCCTCCCAGCCCAAGACTTCTTTCTCAGCTCCCTGCTTCCTATACCCTTTGTCTATTTGTTTGTTTGTTTGGTCTTTTGAGACACAGTCTTGCTATGGTTCAGACTGGCCCTGAACTCACAATGTAGCCCAGGATAGCCTCAAGTTCACAGTGAGTCTCCTGCCTCAGTCTCCTGAGTACTGGGATTACAGGTGTGTGCCACCACGCCCAGCTTCCTATAATCTTTTATTTTGCTTGTTAAATTGTTTATACTTTGGGTTTCTCACATAAGAGAAAGTATGTGACCTTTTGTGCCCAATTTACTTCATTTAGCACCATGGTCTTCAGGTGCATCCATTTTCCTACAAATGACTCAAAAGTATCCTTTATATATCCTTTACTGTGGGGAAGCTTTTTAACTTGACATAATCCCACTTCTTGATTCTTGGTGTTATTTCTTGTGGAACTGGGACTCCGTTCAGAAAGTCCTACGGAGTGCCTATCAGTCCAAGTAAAGTACAGAGTGAGGGACAGGGGGCTAAATTTATTTTTCTGCAACAAATAACTAGTTTCCCCATTGCCATTTATTAAACAGACTATCTTCTCCACATCATGTTTTTGGTCCTGTTGTTGAATGTCAGGTAGCTGAATCTGTCCCACCAAAGTTCTGTCTACTAGCTGGACTGCCATTACAAGTCTAATAGCAATTAAAACACTAAATACCTTAACATGTTGAATCAATACATATTTTAATATGGTCGCCACTACATGAAACCCTAAACGTTATATACAGATTCCCTATACTTAATATCATCACGGCCCTTTTCTTGTTTAGAAACACTTCAGTAGGAATGCAGCCTGAGCAGCAAGACATGCAGACGCCACCTCTACCTAATAAGAGGAAAACGGGCTGCAAATGACTCCAAACAATAATGCAGTCTGGGGCCTTCGCTTTTAGGTCATTATACTCATTTCACAGAAGGCACTCGGTGACCAGAAGAAACTATTCTAGTCAACACTCATAATCTGGAAGTAAAGTGGGGACGAGAACCCAGGCCTGCTGCTTCCTAGTGCACAATTGCCTCCTCCTTTTGCCCTTCCCCACTTACTGGACTGCCATTACAAGTCTGATGACTTCAACAGAGGAGTACCTACCTGCTAATGGCGCTGCTAGAAAACATACTGAGCACACCCAGGACACCACCTTGAACTGTTACACACTGACCTCTGCTTCACTGTTTCCAATCCATCTTAACAACAGTAGCTAACTAGGAGAAATAGCTGGGTCACTTTGTTACCATGTTACTCTCATCAAAATGTGTAGGGGCTCCCTGTATCTACTGCAGGAAATCCAAGCACTGTACTAACTTGACCTTTCCCTCCTGCCTCCATCAGCTCACCTCTGTCCTTTCCACTGGCCCTGGCACTCCAGGCAGGTAACTACCCTGATAATGTTCAGATGTTCATTTCAGCCCTTCACTCTAAACCTGTAATCTCCTTTTCCCTTTGACTGTGCTCACTCACATCTACTACTTCTGTCTCCTTAGACCCTACTCATCCACTCTCAGTTTCCTTCAGAGATTGCCACACTGGAAGAAGTATACAACAGGGAAGTGGCAGTGAGGGAGAGAAAGGCTTAAAAAGCTTCCTATACTGGACCTGGTGGCAGCAACCTGTGATCGCAGCTACTCTGGAAGCTGTAGCAGGATGACAGCAAATTTGAGGCTATCTGAGAAATTTAGGGAGATACTATCTCAAAACTACATTAAAAACGGCTGGAGACATAGCTCAGTGGCAGAGTATTTGGAAGTACATGCAGTCCTTGGGATCAATCCTCAATACTCCCCAAAAAGGATAAAACAAAGTCTTCCTTTTACTGTTCTCTACTAAGAGCAACAGAAAGGTTGCTGAAATAACTTAAATGGGGCTGGCCAGATAGCTCAGGAGACTAACGCACAGTGGCAGGGGTTCAATCCTCAGCGTGCTGTGCCAGCCCCACCACGGGGCACACTAAGAGGGTGACAGAGACTGGGTGTGGTGATGCACACCTGTAATCCCAGCGCTTGGGAGGCTGATAACAGGAGAATCACTACGAGTCTGATCTACGTAGTGAGATCCTGTAGACCCTGTACTAAAATTAAAAAACCAATTTAAATGATAACAAAATGTTCCTAAGGGTAACATTTTTAATATTTAATAAATAAATGTGGTAGGTACCATTCTAGGCAGCAGAGACAACCATCCTCAAGGAACTCATGTTCTCATAACATTCTCTCAATCTTCAATCTTTCTATATTAAAAACCATAACATAGCTAAGTATGGTAATGCATCCCTCTAACCCCAGCTACTTAAACTGAGACCGGACAACCATGAGTTTTGAGGCCAATCTCAATAACTCAGTGAGAAGATCCTGTCTCAAAATACAGTAAGAATGGACATGTACCTCAGTGACAGAGCACTTGCCCAGTATGTGACAGCCAGAGTTCAATCTCCAGGACTAGAAAATAATAAAGATAACTGTAGAATGTAAAAAAATAAATAAATAGAATAAAAAATCATCTAATTGTTATGCTGCTGCTAATAAGAAACATGATCCTTTATTAAGCAGTCAATGTTTCGTATATAATGGGTAGGAAGAAGACTCTCAGTCATTCCTGAAAGGAGGACTGAATTTAAGAAAAACAGAAAAGGTAGAAAAAGTGAGAGAGAATGAGAAAGGGAGCATGAAAATACAAAAGAGGTAGGAGGAAACAGCGGACGTGAGTGGGGTAGCTGAGAACAGCCTGTCATCCCTTGCCTGCTCACCGTAAACCATACCGGAACTGCCCAGGAGGTGTAGGTAGTGGTGACATCTGGAAGCCAGCCAGAAACCGTCTTCCCCACACCTGTTTTTTCTTTTTTAGCACACACATTTTTTGTATCTGTTAGTGTCCGTGATAAGTATAAGTATTTCTCTTCTGAATCATTCAAGTCTCCTCTTTTACTCCAAATCTGTTATTTTTGCAGGGCACACTTGAGGAACCGCTACCTAAATTTCCTTCCTTTTACTTATTGTAATACTGTTCCTCATTCATCCATCCTTGTCTTCCACCAACTCCACTAACAACTCAATTTGAAAGAGCTTCCTCATCCCCTTAAACTAAAGGTCCAAAATAAAATTTTGATCAATAATCAACAGCATATACCCAGGGAAGTCATGAGACCTACCAGTGTGATTTCCAAAATAGCATTAACTTCCAAACACCACACAGAGGATGCATTCCTGGTTATTACAAGACAACTGGTGGGTATGATAACTGCACTTGACTGCATTGAGATCTACACATTAGCGTAAGAGTTTATATATTACGGCTCAATTTAAAAACTAATTTTCAAATTGCTTTGATTGTAACAATTAATCTTACCCATACTAGTAAATGCTACGTGAAATCTTTGAGGAAAAACATGTAATTATGAAATAAGTAGAGTAAGCTGTAACTTTTACTCTACTTCTTTCCTTTCTACCATATCTCCACATATAGAAGTGCTTTTCTAACGGAAGGGCCAAGGGGAATCAAAGGGAGTCTGGGCAGCAAGGAGCAGTGGTAAGCACTGCCACGGGGTTCGCAGCCCCATAAGCAGTCTCTGGGTATGTCAGGACCATTTTGTTCAGAAAGATTCTAACACACATGTAGATTTTTTTTCCATCCTTCAACATTTAATAAGTAATACTCTTTAAAATTGACTCTTACCATTAAAATATTTGAAAAGCACATGGTTGAAGCTGTTGTTTCTTCCTGCAAATTACATGTACATGCCTAAGATTTCTTTACACATTATTATTACACTATTATTAGTGGTGATACTGGGAGTCAAACCCACGGGGGGGGGGTCTAAAATAAATTCAAACCCAGTAACGTCCTTCTTACATTTAAACATTTAACTTCTATTAACTGTTCTTTAAAAATGTGAATGATCTACTCCTTAAATGGTTCTCCTACATAATCTCAAAGGCCACACATAGCTCACAGATATGCCTCCACCTTATATAAAGCTAGC